GAGCGAAGGGGGAAGGGTGCCCGAGCTGATCACCTGGGCTGCGCTGCCCTGTCTGCCGTGGGTTTAACCACCTTGGGTAAAAAGGAAGCGGGGTTTGAAGAACGGCTGGGTGGGAAGTGAGGGGAGAGAGGAAACACAGTTCTGTGGTGCAGTTGCTTGCTGGGCTGTGTGTGCAGCTCTGCGTGCGCGGTTCTCTGCGTTTCTGAGCTTGCGCTGGGCTGCGCGCACGGCTGCATGTGAGCATGAGGCTGGGGCCTGGGGGAGCGGGCGGCTAATAAAGTTCTGTGACAGAGGGAGCAGCACCTGAGGCTGAGTGCAGGTCACAGAATCGTCAGAATTGGAAGGGACCTCTAGAGATGCTAAAGCAGGATTGCCCAGAGCACATCACACAGGATGGCAACCAGGCAGATGTTGAAAGCCTCCAGAGAAGGAGACTCCATGCCCTCCCTGGTCAGCCTGTGCCAGGGCTCTGTCACCCTCACAGTAAAGAAGTTCTTCCTTATATTTAAAGAAATTTCCTGTGTTCCTGCTTGTGCCTGTTGCCTCTTTTCCTGTCACTGGGTAGCGTTAAAAATAGTCCAGCTCCATCCTCCCTGCACCCACCCTTTAGATATTTATGGGCATTGATAAAGACTCCTCTAAGCCTTCTTTTCTCCAGGCTAAATAGCCCCAGCTCTCTCAACCTTTCCTTGTAAGAGAGATGCTCCGGACCTCCAGTCATCTTCGTTGCCCTCTGCTGGACTCTCTCCAGTAGTTCCCGGTCTCTTGAACTGGGGAGCCCAGAAGTGGACAAAGCATTCCAGATGTGGCCTCATCAGGTTGGAATAGAGGGGGAGGATGACTTCCCTTGACCTACTGGCCACGCTCTTCTTGATGCCATGGGCCTTCTTAGCCACACGGGCACATTCTTGGCTCGGGGTGAACTTACTGTCTACCAGTATACCAAGATCCTTCTCCTCAGGGCTGCTTTCCAGCCCTGACCTGTACTGATGCGTAGGGTGCAAGACCCTACACTTGCTCTTGTTGAACCTCGTTAGGTTCCTCTCTGCCCAGCACTCCAGCCTGTCCAGGTCACACTAGAGGGCAGCACAGCCCTCTGGTGTGTCAGTCACACCTCCCGGTTTTGTACCACCAGCAAACTCGCTGAGGATCTGCTTTGTCCCCTTGTCTAGGTCATTAATAAGTATTTAAAATAAGACTAGACCCAGTATGGACCACTGGGGG